AAAATACAAAATCACCCAGCACCATCAAAACTCTCAAGCAAAGCTACATGGTATCTCTGAGCTCTTGTATATCTCTACGGACCTCCAGCGTTTTGGGCAACAACTCCGGGACCGGGAGGCGAAGCTCAGGGCAGACATAGAGACAGCCGTACAGAATGGTCAGGACAACGCGGATCAGCTCCGGGATCAGTTGTCCAAAGCCTATCGCGAGAGGTTGGATGAGTTGGAAAGGGAGGAAAAGTATCTGAGCGAGCATTTGGTGAAATATCGGGGTGAGTTGCGTAAACGCTGGCAACGCTTGTTGGATGAGGTCCGTAGAGATATACAAGAGCTCAGAGATACCATGTAAGATGTTTGTATACTCTGATGGTGCTGGATGATTTTGCTTTTTTTTAATTATCAATATTTTGTATTTAATTATTTTATTTGTAATTTTTTGTTTAGTTATCAATATAATAAATTTTTTCAATAAATGTAAAAATATTTGTTTGAAATTATTGATTAATGAGAGTGAGTGAGATCAATTTATTTATATATTTGCTAAACTAGTAAACTGTAAAGTTTGTTATTTGCATTTAATTTAATTTACTCCAGCATGTTATTTTAAACTAATTGGGATGTTCACAGCAAAGGGAATGTTTTTAAAAACTATTTTTATTAAAATTGTTAAGTTTATCTTGTTTAAAAAATTTCTGATTTACAACTTAATTAATTCATTAGTAGGCAGTTGACCGCAATTGCCTTCCCCCACTTTATATAACTATTAATTAGAGTTAATTAATGTTGATATCATTTAATGATTATATAAATATATATATATTTATGCATTGTATATTAAGTAAATATATTATTCACAACAAACATTGATTTTTATAATAATATAAAGACAGTTACACCCAAACAGATATAAGGTGGGGCAGTGGGGGTACAACAATGACTTATAAGTTCCTAGCTAATTCATAAGCACATGTGGGAATAGCATTTAATATATAAACAAAAATTGTATTACGGTAGTATATAAAATTAAATAATTGTATATAATACGTACTGTAATGTTTCCTCAATAAAATAATTTAATATGTTTGAATTGTTATTATAAAATAAACTGGATGCTTAATTTAGGGCCCAACTTTAAATTTAATTTTATTATGATTAATTATAAAAATATAATAAAATTAAAATGATATTTATAATAATTATTTATAATGAATCATTATTAATGATTTAATACTTGCCTGTATTAGATTAATTATGTTAATTAAGCAAATTTATTAATTAAGGTAGATTTTGTTAGTAATAAAGTATAAATTTACAACATTTTATTTATTTTTTATCCTGGGGCACTTATATAAATTTATATTCAGAGATTCAATAATATTAAAATTATGCTTATTATAATAATATTAATTTTATAAATATATATAAACATGATAAATAAACTGTAAATTTATTTATTTATAATTATTTAATAATTTTTAACTAAAATATTTAAGTTTACATGGACAGAACGAAACATTGCGGTAAGATTGTAATTTTACAAAATTAATTTAATAAATTATATTATTTTATGTTTTAACATTGTAATACTAAAAATGTCATGTTAATGTTAAACATAAAAATAGTAGAAATTATTTGTATATTACTACAATAATTTATCTAGTTACTTTATGAGCAAATCGATTAATGGCATAAAGCGGCTAGTAATCCGAGTAGTTTATCCGAGTAGTTTATCCTAGTTATTAATCATAATATAATAATTTGTGCATTAATTTTAACTCAAATCATAATTTTATTGTAATAATTATTGATACCGTATTTGTATCAATAAACTAAACGTATTTCCTATGGTTTACAACAATACTAATTGTGGGTAAATTTAATTTAGCCAATGGTTAGAGAAATAATTGGCAATAATGGTCGAAAACTTACAATATACAATTAAAACTAACAATATTGTGTCACTCAAATAAGAGAGCATTTGTGTCGCCACACGGGCCTAGTCTTGGGGCAGAGGACGGCACGGATGGCCTCATCGAACACACTGTTAAGGCCCTCTCGGGTGAGAGACGAATACTCCTGGTATTTAGCGGCACCGATACTTTTAACCATTGCCAATCCCTGCGCGTACGACACGGCACTCAGCTGTGGGTCATTTAGTTTGTCTCTCAGATCCAGTTTAGTGCCCACTAATACGATGGGTGTCTGCGGGCAGTGATGGCGCACCTCTGGGTACCACTGATCACGTGATCACGCGTTTTGTATTTAGCAATGAGTTTCATATAGTTTATGGCATTAACACAATGGGACGGATGGCTTACCTTTGACCTGACGTTTTCAAATGAGGCCCGATTTACGAGAGAAAAACAGATTAGAAACACATCCTTTTAAATGTAATAAATAGCAATCATTTAGTATAAGTTATTATTTATATTTGTGTTTTGTTTTACATAATTTTGTATATACAGTATACTTTATAATAATGTAATTATTAATTACATTAATAAATTTTATATAATTAATTGAACAATTGAATTTACCGTTTGTGGATAGGAAAGTGGTCGCAATCGATCGTGATCCTCGTGACCACACGTATCCCAAAGGTCCAGATTTATAGGCTTTCCGTCAACCATAACATTATCCAAATAATTATCGAATCTTTTAATAATAAAGTTAAATCTATTACCGTAAAATCGTGCCTATAATCCGCACTTTACGCATAATCCGCAAATATTTTATATTGTAAAACCTGTTTATGCTAACACAAAAACACGTGTCAAAAATAATGATCAGGGATTGTCACGTAAAAATGTTAATAGGCACGATTTTACGGTAACTTAATGTGATATTTAATTTGATCAATACATACACTTTTGGTATGTATACGCCGGGAAAGTCATTTGTTGTATATTGTACGTTTTTGAATACCAATAGACATGTTTTACCCACATCTCTACATAAATGTTAATTAATTAAATATATTTAAGCATCTAGTTTAAAATGCATACCCGTCGCCGACTACCACACATTTAATGGCTTGCATTTTGTACTAACTCTATATAATTTGTGAATTCACTTACTGTTATATAATTGATAGAAAGCCTAGATTTTGAGCCACTTTTAACCAGAAAATATTAATTTAATACTAAAACACATACTATTTGTTGAGTTGTTTTTGACGGATGTATTCAGTAGTGAGGATGTGATGCCAAATGTATTTATAAAAACAATTTACGCTTACAATGCCTATCAAACAACTCTTGTATTGGGTTTATATTTTTTATTCAAACTATACTTATGTAACGATTAAAAACATTTTATACAAATAAAAGTATTATATTTGGTATCAATTAGTTACCAGGAATTTATTGTTAATTAAATCGGTAATTAATAAAATTAATTTATATTTAATATGAATATAATAGATATTTAAATATAAATTTATAAATTTACGTATTGTAATCAGATTTGGTATTGTAAATAATAAACTGTAATAGAATGTGATTATTAGCATTATACTATGTCTTATAACATATAAAAATTATTTGGTTAGACCAACATCGCCGATCAATTATCATAATGATCTTTTATGTAATTTAGGCTAATTAATTTTAATTAAACATATTTATGATTATGATAAATAGATATGGAAAACACAATTAATAATTTTTAAATAAATATTATATAAATATTAAATTTTGTAAAATTAATATTAGATAATTAGGGTGACATTAAATTAAAACATGACAAAAAATTGAATAATATACACAAATTATACAATTTATTTGTAACATTTGCTTACATTATAATTTTTAAACTTTCCACAATTAAAATTTATATGCAACCAGTTAACTATTTAAATTATAAATTTAGTTAGATTTAATTGATTTTATATTTTTATCAAGTTAGTTAAATAAGTTTGTTGTCGTAGTAAATTGTATGAGAGGTACCATTCAAATCCCTTAAACCACATTCTTCATATTGAACTGTGGTTAATAATAAAGCAGCATGTTAAAAGTTTTAGATTTGAGCAGGGTAAACCAAATTCAGTGAGTATTAATTGACAAATGTATGGATAGGGGTAGGTGTGGGGTTAAAGGACAGATAGGTCTATAATGTTGTCATATTTGGAATTAAATTTTAAGGTTTACATTACAATTAAAAAAGAATAAGTTACATTATTTGACATAAATATAATGTAAATACATTATAATTTTAAAAAATAGCTAAAATTAACAAAAATTGTAACTAATAAATTGTTTTGAAAATTATTAAATAAATGAATATTTAATAATAAGCTGTAATTTATTCTTATTAATACAATTAAAATACATTATAAATTTATATATAAAACTAATTTGGAATCTTTTATTTGTATTGTTGAAACATCGTTCAATTTTTTTGCAAACATTTTAAATAATTCTTGTAATTTAATTAAATGTTTACAAAATAATTACTGTACTTTATTTTAAAAATAAATTAATTGTCAAATACATTCATTGTTTGGCTAATATTTTATAAAAAATATATACCCCTATAGGTTCTAGTGTATCTAGTAACCAGCACAACAAAGACAATAAACAAAATTATAAAATCACCATAATAACAATATTAAATTTTAATTTATTTAATCCAATGCAGCAATTTTATGTTAGCCTATGTAATGTCTATTGAAAAAGCTCTATAAGATTAGCATTACCCATTTTAAACAATTTTAGAAAGCACATTATTCAATGCTGAATTATGGTTAAAAAATTTAATTTTAATAATAAATACAATCACTATAGTAATTTTAAAGAATTTATAATTTTTATTTAAAATATATTGAGCTTAAAATATTGTTCGGCGTTTAAACCCCCAAATATTTGTATATATTTTTTAAATAAAGCATAATAATTATAATGAAACGATTATTATTACAATCTGCAAAACATTCATTGTATTTGTATATTGGAAATTTAATTGCTTTCATTCATATAATAATAATCAATATTTTAACAATGTTTATATTAATATTTCATTGCCCAATTAAAAACAATTGTAATTTTATTACTTATAACGAAATGATTTATAACGATTTAATATTTAATAAAATGTATTTTTGATCTATAAATTAAAAGTCATAATTATCATTTAATTATTTTTGGTTTTAAATAAATTTAATGCAAAAATCAAATTCTCTAATAATTATACTATTGATCATTAACTTTCTAATTAGAAATACGAGAAAAAGTATATAATAATATCTTAATATTGCTAATATTGCTCAATAATTTTTTTGTTAAATGCTTTAAAATAAAATTGTATTTTAATCTATTTTTTGATAATTAAATATGTTTAATATGCACAATAAAATATATTAATAAAACGCAACAATGTAAAATATATTGCTTTATAAATTGCTAACTGGAATCAACTGATATCAAATCAATGTAGTAAAAAACAATTTTACAATATATGTATTATGGAATATAAAGCATTATACTAAAACGATTTTCTATTTAAAATTGATTTTGAAATAATTATCTTGTTTTTATGACAATTAACATTTCACAATGTTTTAAACAAAACAACAGCACATTATATTAATTAATATGTTGCAACATTTTTTGTAAATGTTATTATTCTAAAAATTGTTTTTTAGATGTCAGTTACATATAAAAACTTGGTAAAATCTAAAACAACTTGTATTATACGAAAATACTAACTAATACTTAAGTTTAGTATTTTAAATTAAATGTCTAAATATTTATTATAATTAAAATAATAAATTGGTTTTACCGTTATAATTTTGTTCTTATTCAAAATATGACATAATCTTTTATTAGCTTATTTATTATATACATTATAATAATAATTTTCATTTTATCAATTTAGTTTAAACTAATTGTATTAAACCCAATAAAATTCATATTGCAAAGTTATGTATAAATTTTAACATTAATTCTGTATTTTATTTAATAATATATAAATGTTTTTATTTATGTAAATATTAGCTATTTATATAAACTGTAGATTAACTTAATTGTACTTGATATAATAAGTTTATTTTCAGTAAATAAAAATTCTTGGTTTTCATATATGACTTGTATAACTTTAAGTTATTGATGTATATGTTTATATGGCACTAAAACTGAAAATTAAATATATTTTACATTTTATATATTATTTTTTATTAATATATATTTGTAGGCCAATGTAATGTTTATTAATAATTAAATTGCATTATAGATTGCGAAATAGAAATACAATTAACAAATCAATTTGGTAAGATATAATTTTATTATGCATTATAGTAAAACCAAATGGCTTTAAAATTGATTTTGAAATAATGATCTTGTTTTTATTACATTTATACATTTCGCAATGTTTTAAACAAAACAACAGCACATTATATTAATTAATATGTTGCAAATTTTTTCGTAAATGTCATTATTCTACAAATTGTTTTTTAGATGTCAGGTACATATAAAAACTTGGTAAAAACTAAAATAGTTTGTATTTTACAAAAACAGTAGCTAATACCTATATTTAGTATTTTAAATTAAATGTCTAATTTATTATAATTAAAATGATTATAAATCACAAAACAATTTACACCATAATATCATACGTGATATGTTTGATGGGATGTGTGTATCAAACGTATAAAATAAG